AACAACTGTCAGTGAACTCCTGGTGTCTTATTTTGGGCGCCTTCAAATCGACAACGTGCTTTTTGAATGTTTAAAATAATGTATTAGTTTAGATTTACTTGAAACTGAATGAAAAGTATTAAATCAGCAATTAAATCTCTCGTCCACTGACCAGCTGATAAAAAGTTAACGAACCGCCCCTGGCGACAGGTGAGAAGATTATGACAGCTTGTCCACAGTCAGAGGCCGATCTAATGGTCTATGGCAACGCGTCTGGCAATGAAAGATTTGAGTAGTCATATTGGAAGGATATTTGGGCTGTTGGTTGATAAGATAATAATGGCCAAAGGTGGATAGTTTATCGTTTTAGGCTGTGTCTATAGGCCTTATAATACATGCATTAATAGAACTGCATAAAAAACGCAACATTTAAAAAGGCTATAGGAAAGTCAAATGAGTACATGTATTTGATCGCCGCAATTTTTGGAGAGTCAGTTGAGCAAATGTAAGTTCCCACACTCAAGCATGATTTTGGTTATTTCCGAGAGTACTTTTCATCATAGTAGGCTACAGTACTGTAAACTACGCTTCAGTAAAATTTATTTCTTGGGCGTAATATGACAACGTACTTATGAAAAAACAAAACAATACTATTTACCTGGAAGATGACACGTAGCTCTTTCCCAGGAAAGTTCTGGTTTTTTGTTTGTTAGTTTTTTTTTAATAAATTTTATTTTATTACTTGATGTCCCAGCTCCAAATTTTGCTTCCACCTTATTGAAGGTGGAAAATCTACCACTATCACAACAGATCCAGGACACAACACCATACTGAAATCTGGAAAAGAGCACAGTCATCAACCGCCATCGGAGCATGAAGAGGAAATGTGTGCAGTAAGACATCAGTTAAATAACAGTCTTGATAATTGGTTAACGGAAGAGGTCTACTACTTCAACTCATAAGCTTACATATAAATATGATTTCAAGTCAATATTGTGTCGAATACCTGAGAAATACTCGATTCCAAAAACCCATGCGCAATTTTCCAACAGGTTTTGGAAAACTCCTTTGTACTTTTGGACAACAGGATGAAAAACTTGCACAATTTTCCGCCGCCCTTATCACACGGCGCAGAGCGAACGCCCCTGGGTGATACGCGTGTGCACCTGACCATGACTGGGATAGAGCTCCAGGGCACGAGTCACCACCA